CTGTGGTTTTTGATTTTTAAAAAAACAAACTTTTGAGCTAGAATGCTCTTCTTCGAACTTGATCTGCCTTTTTATAACACCAAACGACCCTGAAAATCCCAGGTCCCTTGCTCAATTCGTTCTCGAGTTATCGTGATGACAAACACACACACAAACAGACAGACAGACAGACGCGAAACTTTTTGATCATCACTGGAGTAATAGGCTTCGCTAATCGCTCAGCAAGGTTCGGAAAGTTAACCAAAAAAGTTCAATCGTTAAGTTAAAGTTAAATTGGCAAAAAATATTAACGGTTAAGTTGAAACGTTAACTTTTCAGAAAAAGTAACTGTTTAGTTAACGTTAACTTAACGAAAGTTAACGCAACTTTTTCGTTACATTTTGGTATCTTAAAGCTCTAATTTTCACTGTACGTTTTCACAAAAATACAGTCAATTTCCATTTTTTCTTCATCGTTTGATCTTTTTTTAAATTCTTGTCTAATTTTTGGACCTCCTATACGTAAGCTGTTACGCGACCACTATCACCACCACCGCTATCTAATCCTTCCCTGCCTCATAAGTCCCCTGACACATACGTCCACTCCATAACGAATCATCTCTAGGACCTGCCACTTTCATTCACTGTGAATTGCTTACGAACTATGGGTTCGTAATGCAAACCAAAACGTTCGTAGCTTACGAAGGATTTAGAAGCGTTGTATTACGAACTAATTGTTCGTAAGCGTACGAACAAATAGTTCGTAATGCAAACCGATTGATCGTAAGACCCGTCTAGCCTTACAAACAATCGGTTTGCAATACGAACAATTTCTTTGCAATACAAAGAACGAAAATTGTTCGTAACGTTGCAAAGTATTTAGTTCGTAAGCTTTTTACAGTGTTGCCGCCCCGACTGCGCATTTGCGGCCTTGGCCCAGGTCGCATTGCTCCCGGTCCCGGAGCCGTCCCAGCCCCCAGCGAGGGCCACTAACCCCAGCCCCCGCGCAAGTGCTGCATCCAAAATCGGGCTTCTTCCTTGTCGGTCACCGCTGCACTGAGGCAGATGGCAAACGAATTATTCGGACACGGCCAGCCCCCTCCCCGCCCCCGCCTCCAGCCTTTCCTTCCCGCGCGTCCGTCCGCTCGTCCGTGCCCTTCATTGACTCATAAAGCATTCTCCGATGGGTCAAAACAAGTGCCTTTGTTACAAAGCT